TCTTTTCTCGTCTTCTATTAATTATGCCAATGTCTAAAAAAATCAACCGCCAAGTGATTTCAATTCGCTTCTATGACTGGCTCACTGCGCCCCTTTTAATCTTTAATTCTCTCCAGTATATTTTAACTTTGTCGTTGCTAGTGCGCCTAGTTCACCAATCTGGCTTCTGACCAGTTGTCTGGCTTTCTGTGTTCTTATAAAAATGAATGAAAAAGGTAGATAAAGAAATTAGCTGCACGTATTTTCTGGCGGCTTTGGACACGAAGTATTGTCGTAAATGATGGGATGGCGAGTATTACCCCAATTATGGGTCTTATGCCCACATACAGGTAGAGTGGACAATAATCTGAAAGTGGACGCCAGCTAATTTCATCGAGAAACCTAGGGAATTATGCTAGACTGCATGCATGGAGTTCATGAAGTTCAAGGAGTTGACATTTGTAATGCATAGCTTACCTGTTCACTCAGTTTCTCATTCGCACGCGTCACCTCCGCGAGTCTAGCCTCGGCCTCCATCAGGCGCATCTGACTTTTCGACAAGGACTCCGTCAAAGTGTGTACTCGAACTTTTGATTCAGCGTCGAGGACGGTGCGAAGACACAATGCCGACGACTCGTTGGAAGTCAACTCACGTGACCTTCGAACCTCTACTGCTTCCAAATTGGCCGCCAAGTTCCCGCAGGCCGATTGTAAACTGCGGCTGTGACGTGTAAGTTCACTTTGAGCCTGGCAGGCAAGAAAGAAGAAAAATTCATATAGAGTCAAGGGACTATGATGGAATCGGCAGTGTGATTAAACACATTTGCAATCAAAGAGCTAAAACAATCTAGACGGTATGTAGAAAGACTGGGTTTCCAACATGAATCTAGACAGTGTTGACAACTAAATCATCACCCTTCGTGATTCGAGTAAGCATTGTGGCGGTGGATCAGTAAGAGAGGATCCGGGTGTCAGAACAAAAAATATCCTTTAATTTAGCGCCTCTAATTCGTGCGATTGAAGACCTTTGCCTAAAAGCAAGGGTTCGGTGTTAATAGGACTCCTGTCGCCTGACAACTAAAGCGAAGCGACTATGATACATCTTCTCGACAAACGGGTCCATATGGGGAAAATTCGTGATGCCCGTCTAAAGGCTTCTGGTGCTAGACAAGGCCCAAATCTTTCGCTGCTGAAAACGCGAAGACCGTGCAAGGTGCTAAAAATGAAGTTTAACATGATTTAAACTAGTTCGTATGTCCGATGCTTTTCGGAAATATATGCTCTGGCGAATAACCACAACCTGTCCACATTATACCGTGATGAAATGGTAAAATTATAAATTTCAGGAAAAGTCTACCTGCGAGAGGTCTCGCTCCGTCTGGAGACGCATCTCGGAGAACTGACGTCGCAGTGAGACGACAACACGCCAGAGAGTCAACAGACGACTATGCTCTGCCGCAAAATACTCATTGAATGCGGTCTCCTCCTCGCGCCATTCAGCTTCCCGACGGTCCAGTTGTTGGGCAGTCTGTCTCCAGACAAGAGTAACTCGACTCACCTCCTGATTGACGCTTTGGTACGCTTGATTAGCCTGATCCAACTGATCCTTAAGGATGCCATTTAATTGAGCCAAGTTGTTAGCCCTATTAAAAATGGAGTTATACAAATTTGATTACAGAAAACACGTAATACATATTACTTACATACGCATGAGACATTGATAAACAGCTTAGCCGAATAGATTATCTTGCGTTATGCCTAGAAATGGATAGGACTACTTTATCCAAGAAATACCCAGAACAATGGCGGCTAAGAACCTTGAGTAAATGAGTAAATTAATTGACTTTGGCTCCTCAGGCGGCTCGTCTGAGATCGATCTAGGTATCCCTGGATGGTACTAGGCCTGGCCTGATAATAATCCAGAACCGTCTCTATGCTTTGGTGGGATAGGAAATCAAAAACAAAAAATAAGCAGAAATTCAAAAGCCTAAATCGAATTCTTAAGAATTAATAGATTAACCCCAAATGGAAATCTATGCAGGCAATATCAACTTTTTTAAATTAATATGGAGAAAAAGCCTATACGTAAATGCTTGATTATTATGAATAGATACAAATATAGAGGTTGTTTGACCTTGCTTACGCAACATGGTCATATTGGTAGGAAGACTTAGATAAACGCACCTAGTCCGGAGTCCATTGTCTGCATGATCAGCTCCAAAGTTGAAACGTGGACGTGGTTCATTACCAAACGTTTTGCCGGTATCGTAGTCGGTATCGTCAGTGAGTATGGCCATTCTTAGCACCATACCAAAGATGTGCTAAACAATTATGGTATCTCCCGTTCTGTCCTGGGTTATTCGCGTTTTCGGTAGCATCCTATCATGCCTTCACTATTACAATTTTTCCGTGTTTTTTTTAGATATTGTGTGTTGTGCTCTTTTGAGCGACATGACACCTTCACACTCCAACTGTCGTTCTCACCCCCCTTTCATCCCTGTGCAGGGAATGTTGATAAGAGTCTGCTTTATTAATAAACACGGAAAAAATTGTAATAGTGAAGGTGTGATAGGATGCTACCGGAAAGGCGAATAACCCATGGCAGAAGGGGAGATACCACAATTGTTTAGCATATGTTTGGTCAAAGGATCGGCTTCACTG